CTGGCGTGGCTGGTCACCCTGTTGTGGGGGTGTTGGGCAGCTGGGTGGTCTGCTGTAGCGTTTGTGTTCTCTGGGATGGCGGGGCTGCGAGAGATACCCAGAGATGTTTCAAGTCAGTGTCCTCACTCTGCCCCTTCTTCTTGACTGACACCACCTGTCCTGGCTGCCCTGTGGGGCAGGATCTGTTTGAACCCTGCTTTTTTTTTTTTTTTTTTTTGGTGCGCTGAGCTAGGGAACGTCTCACAGCCTCTTCCCTTCCTAGGACATGATGGACTACCTGCAGGAGAAGAACATCAGGCAATTTATCCACAAGGTGAGGAACTGGGGTCGTGCAAGGGTCTGCTCTGCGCTTCAGGCTCTGTCCTTCCTCCCCAGCCCCTGTCCCCTCAGCCCAGCCTTTGGTGGCTGTGCCTGGCTGGGTTCCCTGCGTGTCCCACACCCCTTCCTCGATGCCTCTTATGGGTGCTGCCGCGCTGGCACCCACGTGCCCAGGTCTGCCACCCTGGCTGCCTGTGGTTCAGTGCACCCAGCTCTCGCCCAGCCCCGAGGGGAGCTGCCTGCCTCCTAACACCCCTGAGAGCAGCAGGACCTGCTGTTGGGCCCTGAGCTTGGAGGAACTGGGAGCAGCGGCCCAGGAGAACCTTCTCACTCGCGGTTTCCTGTAGAACATCATCCACAGCTCCGAGCCGCTGGGGGACGAGATGGCCCACTACCTGTACGTGCTACAGTCCGTCAGCCTCAACCTGTGCGAGCGCCGCATGAGGACCTCCATGGATCCCTACTCACAGGTCTGGGAGTGCTCTCCTCGTCCTGGTCGCTTCCACCTGTGGCAGTAGAGGCGGATGAAGGTTTGCCTTTGGGTGAACCCAGCAGATTTGATTTCATTGTTGGTTTGTCCTGGGAGAACCTGTTTGCGTGGGGCTCACCAGAATCCCCTTCTCCCCATTCTCCCTCCAGGAACAGCGGGAGCTCCTCCAGTCACTGCGCCAAACCGCCTTTGAGTCAGAGAGTGAGGCACCTGCCAGCAACTTCAGCACCGAGCGCCGGCGATCCCTGTGTGCCAAGGAGTTCCGCAAGCTGGGCTTTATGGTGTGTCCCCCTGCATGCCCTCCCCAGCCCCATGCTGGCTCCATCACCCAGCCTTGGTGGCACCTTCTGATGGCTCCCCTGAGCCAGGTGTACCTGTCGATGGGCCACCAGGCAGCACCTCTCTTCTGATCCTTCGGCACCGCTAAGGAGCGAGTGCTGCGGAGCTGCCGGGACTCAAAAGGCGCAAACCCCATGGCTGCATCGGGAGGACTCTGCTGCTCAGAGAAGCAAGCAGCAGTTGCTAAATTGCATCCTTTTGTGTCCTTCTAGAACAACAGCAACCCAGCAGAGGATCTCCGCCGTGCCCCGCCAGGACTCCTCGCCCTTGACAACATGGTGTATTTCTCCAGGCACACCCCCAACGCCTACAGCAGGGTGCGTGCGTTCTCCCAGAGAACTCCCTGGTGGAGAGGTGCTGGTGGATCTCCACCTTCTTTTCCTTTCCTTGTGACCTGTCCTTGGCCAAGCCCAGGCGAGGATGTCCCTTTTGGGCAGGTGTCCTACTGTTGCCCCATTTCAGATGGAGCAGAGTCCTCCCTGTGGGTAGGAGCAGCCGTTTTAGGGCGATGGCACTGAAGGGTCCCCATAATTTTTAGTCTCCGAGTCTCTCTGAGTCCGTGGCCCGCGTAACACAAAGCAAACGACCTTCTCTTCCAGTTTGTCCTCGAGAACAGCAGCCGGGAAGACAAACACGAATGCCCCTTCGCTCGAAGCAGCATCCAGCTCACCCTGATCCTCTGCGAGATCCTGCATGTTGGAGAGCCGTGTATGTGTGCATCCTGGCTTGTCCTTCTCCCTGCCCTGCTGCCTGCCCGTTGGCAGGAGAGGGGACAAGCTGCCGGGGCAGGGGGGGCTGCATACGCGGGGCCACCAGGCTCTGGTGTGGGTGGCAGCAGGAGAAGGGGAGGGAGGGCTGGAAAATGTCCTGGTTCTCCTGGACACTGAAATCCCCTGCAAAAACTGGGGAGTCTGGCATCATCTGTCCTTCTCACCGCAGGCTCGGAGACGGCTCAGGCCTTTTACCCTATGTTCTTCGGGCAGGATCATTTCTTTGAAGAGCTCTTCTGCATCTGCATCCAGCTGGTGAACAAGACCTGGAAGGAGATGCGCGCTACCCAGGAGGACTTCGACAAGGTGCGAGGGGATGCTGGGGACCCAGACGGGAGCTGCGGCCGCCAGCTGCGCACAAATTGAGGGGGTCTGGGGAGCGTCTCCAGGCTGGGGGTGACGTCCTGCGTCCACAGGTGCTGCAGGTGGTGCGGGAGCAGATCACCAGGACCCTGTCCCTCAAGCCCACCTCCCTGGAGCTATTCAAGACCAGGGTGAACGCATTGAACTACAGCGAAATCCTGAAGCTGCGACAGACGGAGCGGCTGCACCAGGAGGAAAAAAAGAGTATGCTGCAGGCAGGGAGATGGAGCTGTGACGGGGGGGGGACACGCCGTGGGGCTGGGGAGGTCAGCGAGCGCCTGCTGAAGTGGCCGTGCTCCTCTTCTGCTGGCTCTCACCCCAGGGAGTTGCGCGAGAGGCTGAAGCCGGAGCTCCTGGAGCTGATCCGCCAGCAGCGCCTGCTGCACCTCTGTGAGGGCACCCTCTTCCGCAAGATCAGCAGCCGCCGCAGGCAGGGGGAGCGCCAGGCCTCCCACCC